ATCATGTTATATAATTTCTTTTCAATTATGTACTTTTTTGGGGAAGAAAATGGCATATTTATGACTGGCAACTATTGTTGCCAGTGGTCACACAGCTTGTCAGTAGGTGAAATGTCACCTAATAATAGGAATAGAGAAGTAATAATAATATCGTTATAACCAGGGCCGACCCTGGGGGCATTTTCACTGGGCAAAATTTTTCCTAGCAACCACCGTCTAAGCGCCACCATCAACTCCCTCATTGGCAGGTGGTGTTCCCACTGCAGGGTGCGGGGTCTCAGATGGAGTGTCACCGCAACAGTCAACCTCATCTGGAGTAGGTGGTTTTTCCACCCAGGATGAAGTGATCCAGCTGCAGCGACGACGCAGACTCTGCGGGTGTCGCTGACCTTGGAGGCTGTGAAGGACTAGTCACTCTCAACACATCAGAGGATGGCACTGATGGAGGCTTTGAACTTGGCACGGAGCATGCTATTTTTCCACACTCAGGGTCAGGAGGCAAAAAATTGGGCAGGGGTTCTCCAACACCCGACCAAAGTCCCCCCTTTTCCAGACCGAAGAAAGCTTCAAAGCGCTTCAAGAGGTCAACGTCCTCTGACTTTGCTCCAAAGTCAGAGGACCAATGGTGAAGTGGAGGAGTGACCTAGAGGACAAGACCACGTCAGAAGGAGAGAAAACACGCACAGTCACTGCACAAGGAATCAGTTCCGGAGGCCGTACGCCTCCTCCTGCACCCCGGCAGAGGCGGTTGAACATAGACCGGGACATGATTGTGTAACCTGAACCAGTATCCAGGAGGGCATTGCACCGGAGCGTATGGCCCACTTGCACGTACGCCATAGGCTTACTGGCTCTCCTATGAGACAGAAGGTGTACCATGAACAGATCGGCAGACTCGACACCGGGGGTGCCAGACCGTCGTTACCTGAGGACGAATCAGTCATCAGTTCAGCTGGAGCAGAGATTTGGTCTACTTCTTGTAAATCAGAGTCAGATGACTTGTTATCTGGCTGCAGTGTTTCTCCCACATCTGGAAGCAGATCAGCAGAAAAAAGGGTTAAAACCTTTCCAAAATAGGAATCATTCTCTATAGCCTGGACGCTGTCATCCAGATTCTGGAGTTTCTCATTTATATTGGAGAGTTGCTGCTGAATGTGTCCCTTCTTTTCAGTTAGAAAATCCATCAAAAGTGTATCTCTATCTACAGCCATCTTGGAGATGCCACAGAATGCTTAATTTTGTTTTAAATGAACCCTTTAGGCGCCATAGTTTTTTCAGTAAAATATGAATTTTTTATATCACTATTTAATGAGCTTGTAGCTTAAATCTGGTTAGAGATAGAGGAATTAGAGCCCTGCACGGGCCTAAAATCTGAGCCTGTGTCCGGCCCGGCCCGAGGGGGTGGAGCCCCGGCCCGGCCCGGTCCGAAAAGGTTTTCAGGATTCTCTGGCCCGACCCGAGCCCGACTTTTTTTAACCAACTAAATGAAAACAAAGTGCGTCAATCCTGACCAATGTGTTAAAAGACGTGCAGGATCCGATCAATTTGTTTTACCCTCATTTACCGTCACGGAGATGACGGCGCACTGGCTCTGGTGGTAATCAAGTTAAATTTTATCTCTTTCCAACAATTTTCACAAGAAATCAAAACAGTTAAAAGCAGGGCTTGTGTTGTGTTGACCGGATAGTTCCCGATTTGACCGTTTATTTTGACGGAGAAAGAATAGAAAGAATTACCCCGACGCATGCAGACGAACTGACATTTTATTCGTTACGCACATTGCAAATGTAGCTAAATCACCCAAGAAAAGATTCCCATCTGAACATCTGAGCTGGACACTGCTCAGCGCAGCTCGCTGTCAGCGCATATGTGCACAGCAAGCTAAAGTTCTGTTCAGGTTTACGCAGACAATCTTTACATAGAATTGACTTACAGATTTGGGTTGGTGCCCTCGGACTACGTGAGGCTCTGCAATGCTGCTGCTTTGGGCCCTGGCAAGATGGGCTGGGGTCTCCATGCCCTGGGTGGCATTTTGACAACAGAGGTGCCTATTGGGGCCAGTGGGGGAGCTGGCTCCCTGGAGGGCTAAGTGCAACCAGCCATTCCTCCCCATTCCCGCATATTTTTCTCCTCCTGCTCCCTCACATCATCACACAAACATGCACATAAGGACCTTGGGGGGTGGACAAGTCAGGGAGTGCGGGTATGGACTCCATTTCCGCATTCCTGTGGTAACCTGCCCCCCTATTTTATCTGCACTTTAAACACTTCCACCAACGTCATTCCACGCAAGCACACACTTAGGGCCTTGGGAGTGAGCACATTCAACGGCAGTTGGCAGGGGGATTTCTCAGCCTCATCATGGGTGCCGGTACTCACTTCCAAATTTAAACCGCACTTAGACACAGAGGGCTGTGGGTGCAAGTGCGGTGGTGTGGTGGCATCAGCTGGCAGAGGCCAGGCAATGCCCGCACTGCCCGCTCACCACAGCCATGGAATACACCTCATCAACACACAACACTATATTGGAGCAGGCGGAGGGAGACTAGGGGTCTTAGCACACCTCTGTTGTTGCTTGGCTTCCTGGGGCTGGAGGCTAGGAGGGAGATCTGGCCGTCTGGTTGGGGCCTGGGGTGGTGGGTTGCTGTGCTCAGCGTTGGGCGGGGGAGCCTGCTCATCAGCACCCCAGCAGAAAGGGTCGAACTCTGGGAACCGGTAATGGTTGTACCCCATGTGCAGCAGTACCGGGACCAGAGTGAATAGGGTGTGTATGGGGAGCATGAATGGGTGTCCGGCATGCATTTTTGTAAGTCTTTGGTTGTATGTGCATGTATGAGCATGAGGGAGGGAGTGTGTGACTGTGTTTGTGTATGGCTGGATATGTCAGGTGGGGCCTTTGACTCCTCTCTTCTCCTGGGCCTTCTTTTGATGATATAGATCTTCGTCTCAGCTCCCCCTGCCACACCTGGTGTGGAGTGTGGTGCCTTGGTCTACCTGAATGTTCGTGGCTCCCGGGTCAGGGGGTTTAACATTTTTGGCATCTGCCTGATCAATTCCGGTGGCTGTCTGGTGGGGTCTGGGTCCCTGGGCTCTGCTGGGTCCCCAGCGGGGATGGTCACCCCTGGGTCACTGGGTCCCGGGCTTGGCCAGCTAGGGGGTGGGAGGTTACGGGCGGGCCTGTGGGCTTGCCGCTGATATCTCCCGGGACTCTGACGGCTGCTGGTTGTGGCCCCCCGGGGCGATCCTCTGTGCCTCTCGAGGGGGGCGGGGGCCTTTCTGGTTGCAGTCTCCTTGGGGTTCCTGTGTTCTGGGGCAGCTCCTGGATCTCTGGGACTTGGAGCTCCCCCCGTCTCCTACACATCTTTGGGGGGCAGATCTGTGGTCCCTCACGCTCTCTATTGGACGCTTTTATAGAGAAACCTTACATAAACAAGCGCGTGTACATACACAGGTGCTCACATGGTACTCTCATAAGTATGGACTTGGGCACGTTCAACACACGTCTTAAGGCTGTCGTTGTCACTAAATGCACTATGATTTATTATCGTGTGATTGTTCAGTTAAACAATGTTGATTTTATATTTCATCATCAGGCTGACGCAGTGATAGCTTGCTCCTGATGTATTGTTGTGTGTCCCATTTTTTTCTATTCTTTCTCTTTCTACAGGTCTAGAGGCAGACTCTTGTTCATTATTGTTTATTTTTGTGGAAACCCCCCTTTCCCCCACCTTTTGTCTTTTCCTTTCTCTTTCACCTCTGTCTCCGTGTCTGGTCGGAATCACAAAGCATTCAAAAACAATAACAATAAAGTTTTAAGTATCAGGCGTGACATTAAAAGCAGAAGCTTTGATGCTCCACCTGAGATTAAATTCCTGAGATTAAATCTGTAAGGCTTGTTACCAGCATTCAGACATCAATTCTGTTTGCTTCACAGCCGAACAGGACACAGAGAAAATAAAACAAATAAAAAAATTAAAAAAATGAGCTTGTATCCAGAGAAGCAAGTCTGAGTGGGAGATGATGTTTTGCTCCTAACTGTGATCAGAGTTTGACCGGAGTAGTTTCATAAACACTAGGCGCCTTATTTGTCGCATCCACACATACTCTCAGTGAGACCTCTGTACAGATCCGGAGTGCCAGGTCCATGGACCCTCCTCTGGTACTGGAGCTGATGGAACAGCGTCGACAGCATGACAAACCAGTCTTTGGATCGTCTTCAGGTAAAAAGCGAAAGGTGGTTCTTAGCGTCAAAAGGGGACCCTGCTTGGGTCAGTGAGTTCAGCTTTTATTCTGAAAGGAACCATTGCTTGGTTGGTAAAATGCAACAGCTTTTCCAGCTTGGTGGTTCTCAGCTTAAAAAGGGAAGTCCGGATGGCCGGTCTGATACTCCGCTTAGCATGCGGTGAACTCCAGTGAGATCTTGAGAACTGAACTAAGATGGTGTTGGAATTGGTTTTATTAATCTGGATGTTTTGAATTCTGGTCGAATCAAAGCTGGCAGATTTATAAACACCACAGAGACTATGCCACGCTTCAGACTAGGAAGGTTCTGATTGGATCAGTACAGCAATGTGTCATGCGTTGTTTACATTACGTGCGTCAGTGTGTCTAGTGAAACAGATTGTCATATTACTTATTATAACATATTAATCATAACATTATGATTTCACAGATCGGTCACATTATATTATTGACTAAGGGTTAGTTGAAAATCAAAATTTACTATTTTAGGTTGAACAAGAATTAGTGAGAAGACACGAAAACGCTGAATTTTCTAAACTATGAACATGAAGGAAGAAAAACTTGAAAAACCATAACTATGATCAGAGCAGATGTCACCCTTGTCCACCTACTAAACTTACACTTGAGGAACAACACCAGGTTCACATATTAAAGCATTTCAGAGTTTCACATTTTATGCTGCAAACCTCTAAAGACTATAAACCCCAACACCACCGTGTTTTATGGGAACCTTTGGAAAAGAAAAATGGCACAAGCAGTTTCTCTGTAAATATTAACATTTATTTAAGTATACAATTTAGTATTTCCACTCTTTGCCCACCTGATCCTATTCACAGGTTTCACATCAGTATTTGGGCTTCTCTGTGCAGCATTAAGCCTCGCTTGAGGGCAGTAAAAACAGAAAAGACAGTTAAAACAAGCCAAGTTTTCTTTTTTTTATACCACTAACAAACAGAAAAGTCACAGGCAACATCAAACCTGCCAAGCTGCTGGAAATGCCACATTTGGTTTGTTATTTGCTTTTTTCATCATTTAGACTAAGGAGGCATTTATAGTTGCATTGCATAAATCATATGTAGTTAATGAGAAAAAATGATGCTGATTTTATTCTCGTCATGCGAGTCTGATGATATAAAACGATGCAACAAAGTCCCATCTCAGGTGAGACCTCCTTCATGTAACAGACTGAATAAATGAAATCATTAAACTTAGACGATCAAATAAAAACTAGCACAAACAAATGCACACAGAAATAAAACAGAAGGAGAACAAACAAACTAACAGAGGCTGTGTGCAAATACGTTTAATCACATCAAAATAAGAGTTGGAGATCCACGTAAGGTGACGGAGCAGCCGCATTTTGGTCTTTGAATAAACAACACTGTAACATTACTAAACTACACTTTCATTAAGAAGAGTTAGAAAATAAGGTGGTAAGAAAATAGTGTTATTTATGAGTCTTATATATCCTGCCTGTCCGCTTGCTTAAGTCTCCTTTTAAAGTTTCTCAAACAAGGAATAAAATGTAACAGAAATATTTTCTGAGAAACTCCTACACATTGTTTTTATTTATTATTATTACTGTGGGACAGATAGCTTTCTGCTAGTGATGCGTTTAAGTGCTTCCAATGACACGATGCAAGTGGAGCAGCTGTTACCATGACGACGTGTAGAAACAGAACAGTTTAACGGATGAGGTATTGCACAGATTATTCCGTAAAATCATAGAAAAGCAAAATAAATATACAACTAATTCATACAACATTTACATGACGGCTGTAGTCTGGAAGAGTTTTAGTGTCGGCGATCGGTACAGGGCGGAGGGCTTCACTAGTCATCCCACTCGTCGTCATCCTCAAAGTCTTCCTCTTCATCGTCGTCATCATCATCATCTGAGGGAAGAAACACAAGAGTGTGATGAGGAGCAGCAGCAGCACGCGTGTCTTTACACCCCCACCCCTAAGGCTCATCATAACCTCATGGCTGACCACTCTGACCTTCCTTGTCCCTGGATGACGATGAAGACTCCGGACTGAAGCCCGATCAGAGACAAAAACTCATAAATCAATATCTTTTAGCTGAATTTCGATCTCAGTATTTTTCCTCCAGTAAAATATTTACAAGCTAAGTCCATTCAAGCTGTCTAGAGAAATGACAAACTCATCGGCAGATTAAATGCATGAACATGTATTGATTCTTGGCAAACATGAACGTTAGTGGCTGTTTTTTACCAGCCTGTGCTTTAGAAACACTGATGCAGCGGTCTGCTAACACACGTACGATGCAGCGGTCTGCAAACACACGTACGATGCAGCGGTCTGCTAACACACGTACGATGCAGCGGTCTGCTAACACACGTACGATGCAGCGGTCTGCTAACACACGTACGATGCAGCGGTCTGCTAACACACGTACGATGCAGCGGTCTGCTAACGCTAACACACGTACGATGCAGCGGTCTGCTAACACACGTACGATGCAGCGGTCTGCTAACACACGTACGATGCAGCGGTCTGCTAACACACGTACGATGCAGCAGTCTGCTAACACACGTACGATGCAGCGGTCTGCTAACACACGTACGATGCAGCGGTCTGCTAACACACGTACGATGCAGCGGTCTGCTAACACACGTACGATGCAGCGGTCTGCTAACACACGTACGATGCAGCGGTCTGCTAACACGCGTACGATGCAGCGGTCTGCTAACACACGTACGATGCAGCGGTCTGCTAACACACGTACAATGCAGCGGTCTGCTAACACACGTACGATGCAGCGGTCTGCTAACACACGTACAATGCAGCGGTCTGCTAACACACGTACGATGCAGCGGTCTGCTAACACACGTACGATGCAGCGGTCTGCTAACACACGTACGATGCAGCGGTCTGCTAACACACGTACGATGCAGCGGTCTGCTAAATAGGGCTGCACAATATATCGAAAAAGTATCGTCATCGCGATAACAGGACGTGCGATAGGCCCATCACAAATCACGTCAAAAACGGCGATAAATGTTTGGTTCAAACATTTCCATCCGTGTCATACATCAGCTTTTTGTAAACCAGCTCTGTTTTTTACGCGGAAGTATTATTTGACCAATCAAATGTAGTCCTTCTGATATGCAGCCAATCAGATGGGTCCGTTCACGTAATACGCCCGCCCCCTACGTAGACCCTTACCCCAACATTCCACCATCTCCGCTCCGCCCCCGCTTTGCGCTGCCGCTCGCTTCCCTTGTTCGTCATGCTGGCTCAGATTAACGAACGCACTTTGTGCTGAGGTTTCTGGAATCAGCGCTGCTTTCAAACATGAACGTGAGTCCGCTCAGTGTCGTTAAGCAGCTGATAATAACCGGGCTGAATCCGACACGTGCCGGCGAACCAACCCACCTACCTCCATGTCGCTAGTGTTCCACCGGGTGGTAATGTTAGCCCCAGGCTCCGGTTAGCTTCCAGCTAAAAGGCTACAGCACTCTCCTCCCAGTCCCACCCTGCTAAAGAGGGCCTGGAAAAGTTCCCCCACACATCAAAGTGATTTTTCATTTTTGAGCTTTTATAACCTTGTTAATCAGGATAGTTGATTTGCTGCTGCAGTCAGAAGCTCTGCTAGCCGGTTATCTTAGAGGAGCTAGTTCAATTTGTTAGCTTGTTATCAGAATCATAGTTGGAGTTTCATCATCTGAGATGCTTTTTAAGATCTAGGTAAACTTGTTCAATTTGGGGTTAAAAACAAACGTTTTCATATATTTTCCATGTAGTTTTTTTGCCAGTTCCTCTTCTGAAAGGTAGACGATTGTTTTTCTCTTTCCCTCAGAAAATCTTAATATTCTCCTAGTTTGGCCCGGCACAGTTCACTTCCCAATTACAGCAGCAGCCTTATATCATAACCACGTAAGTGGAGAAAATGTTCAGTAGCAATGAGAGAATTTGCAGTTGCATTTAAGTGATGTTAACTATTATTTAACATTTAAACTTATTTTCTGATTTTTTATTTATTCAGAAAACCTGGTAAGGGATGTTTTTCTGTATTTGGAGCATCAGAAAAAGTTTTATGGTGGAGGTGATGTTTTAAAGTCACTGAGAACCTGCAGGCATGCAGTTTGTTGTTTTGCTGCTAATACAGTAGCAGGTGCAGCTGCATATTTTTGCAATAAAAATGTTATGTTGTAATGGAATTCATGCATTAGTTTTTGTTTGCTTTGAACCCAGAGCAGACGTCACACGCCAGACGACATCAACACTGCATACTTTAGTATTTGTTCATTTATCGCGAGTAATATCGATATCGCAATATTAAGCACTGTTATCGAATATCGCAGGTTTTCCTAATATCGTGCAGCCCTACTGCTAACACATGTGGGTTTTATTTTCGGGCTGTCGGCCGTAATCCACGTCTTCCAAACCTTTAACTTTTTCCACAGAAGTCTCATAACAGAGCATTTCTGAGCCTAACAGCGCAGCAGAAACCAGAACCTCCTCTCCCGCCCGCTGAACTCACCTTCAAAATAAAACGTTAACCCAAAGGTTAACTATTGAAACCGTTCCAATATGTTTGAGACAATTTGGCCACTCTGGCTTTTCGTAGCCATTTACTGATTACACGGGGACGGGTTTGGCCCGTCAAGACGAGAATGATAGATAAACAAAACTCTTTTGAAGAGTGTCGCTGAAACATGAAGGAACGTCCCCAAATTCAAACACAGGAAGCCAAATGCAAGGTTTAGACCCCAGTGTTCCCCTACAGAGACTCAGGTGTAATTCTAGCACCTAAAATGGTTTCACCCGACTGTCCAGGGTTGCAGATGTGGTGTTTCTCCCTTCCCATCGCTACACGTAGTTCTCAGATGTTGTGCAGACAAAAGTGATCCCTGACGTGCGTGCCCCGTCGCAGGAATGCACATCACACAATACGACCGCAGACTGAGTAAACATGAGGCTACCTTTAATGCTTTGGGAAGAACACATTTTGTGTACAGTCTGACTAAGTGTTATCTTGGCAGTTGAATTAAGAAAATGAAATAAAATAAAATACTTAAAGGACATCTCGGATGTGTTCTCCTTTCTTCTCATTTAAAGTTTTGCTGAAGTGTCGGATTGGGACTCTACAAATACTCTAAATCAAATCACCGACTCGATGGGGGGCAAAAACGTGATGGGAACATTCCTCAGTGAAACGGGACTGACGATGACTGTGGGAGTGATGTACCCGTCTAAGCTGAAACAGGTGTGAGGGAAGGTGTGTGACCCCGTGTGCTCCCGCGCCATCATGATGAAACTGTTCAGCACCCACCTGAAGAATGGATGGCTTTGCTCCTCTTTTGCATTACTTCCATAAGGGCCCCCACAATCCCGGTAGCTGGAGCCGGTGTGGGCGGTCCAGATTCTGGATCAGACACCTGAAAGCACAAATTACTAGTGAAGCCAAGAGTTTGGTAAACGTACAGGAGAGACTTTCAGGTTCAAAGTGGAAATAAAATCCAATTTGTGGGAAAACACCCACAAGGTTTAACCTTAAACGGGTTCTGAGACGGGGGTGGGGGGTGTTCTGGGACTCTACTCACGGTCTTGAGCTGGATGCCCTGCCGGATCTGGTCCAGCAGAGCATCTCGTCCTGAGCTGGAGGCTGGCACTCTGTGGTTCTGCTCCACCTTTTTCAACTGGGTTCCTCCTCTGATCTGCTCCAGCAGGGCTGACTTCCTGCCTGGATTGGGAGAGTGGGGCAAGTCTTCACTTACACCGTCCAACTCTTGAGGTGGAGGGGGGCCGGGAGGAGGAGGAGGAGGTGGGGCAGGTGCAGTGTCTGCTGGAGACTGCTGGGCAGGCGGAGGAGGGGGAGGTGGAGGAGCAGGAGGAGTGACAGAGGGTGATGAAGGGGGTGGAGGGGGAGGCTGTTGATTATGATGGTGTGGAGGAGGTGGAGGAGGAGGATGGTGACCTCCTCTGGTTGGAGGAGGAGGGGGAGGAGGAGCACCCAGAGTAACTGGTCTGGATGGAGGTGGCGGAGGAGGAGCAGATACAGGCGCTCTGGATGGAGGGGGAGGAGGAGGGGCCCCCCGGGTTCCCCTGGACGGTGGTGGCGGGGGTGGAGCCGAGCTGTGGGGAGGAGGTGGAGGAGGAGGGGGTCCAGCACGAGAAGGAGGTGGAGGAGGAGCTGCATGTGAAGAAAGGAAAGAAGAGGCCGTTAGATTCAGCAGAACAATTCTGGTTCTGAGACTCCTGGTCCAGTTTGAATCTGAACTAAATAAAGATGAATGAAGGTTCTGGTAGAGTCTGTAGGATCCATCAACCCGGTTCTGATACCAGAACACAGAACTCATCTGGTCCCATCCCGCCAGAGTCCCCCTGCTTTCTTTTTGTTTCCTTTTACAAGCAGCTCTAAGTGTGTGTGTGTGTGTGTGTGTGTGATAGTGTATACATCCTCACCCTGCCTCCTCAGCTCGTTCTTCACAGCCTCCACTCCACCCTTCTTCTCGATGAAGTCATAGATGACTTTGGAAGTCTCGCGGTCCTTCAGCTGTGCCTCTGAGATGCCACACATATCAAACAGGTGTTTCAGCTCCGGGTCCAGGTTATTCAGCTGTCGGTACAAACAGCACTTTAGACACGGGTGGCTTTTTCAGACCCTCATCCTCAGACTCAGTTTGTGCAGCCGTCCCGGAAGAAGCTAATAACAAAGAGGCAGCCAGTTGTTTTGACTGACGACCGTGTTCTTAATCAGAATGAAAAGGACTTCCTGCTCGCTTAGCTTTTCATCCATTCATTTGATGTTTACATGCAGCCTAGTGGAGAGCAGTGTCTCGCTGACACCTGGTGGCCCCATGAGGAACTACAGGCTGCCTGAGCTCTGATGTTCTGTATTAACCAGATCAGACTTCAGCCTCGCCGTCTAGTAGACATCCAGGACGTCTAGCGTGTTGGCTCAGATCTACCTGACATTTACACATGCATGGATGTGTCTGACTTGTCTAAATCTACACAGAGAAGTAGTCTGATTACTCACAGGCAGAGAGACACATGAGACTAGCCAGCTAAAAAATAACCAATCAGAAAGGCGGAAATGCCAACCGTGCCGTGCAAAGCTGTAGTTTTTTAGATGTAGTCAAAAATGGCATCTAGCGACAGCACAAACACCTTCTGTAGAAGAAATGCTTTCAGCGCTTCTACTTGTGGTGGTTTTAAAGACATGTTTAAGTTTTTTTAGAACAGAAGAAAGAGCTGCAGCAAACTCCACTTCAGACGCCATGTTTATGAGAAACTGAGCGTTACGCTGTGTGACACATGCTGCTCAGCGCCGATTGGCTCTGTTAGAATTCTCAGGGGGCGGGGTTATTTGAATAGTACAGTTCCCATAAGGCTAACAGAGGAAGGAGCTGGGGTAGCACACGTATGTCAGGGAACGCCACGATTAATGGATGTTTTTAAGTCGATGCCACTTAAAGCTTTAAACAACACAAGTCATACACTAAAGACTAAAGTTAAAGTTCCATCAGTCATCATCACACACTGGTGACATTTATCTCTTCAGCTCACCGATCCCCGATGGGAGCGGTGAGCTGCAGCTGCGCTCGGGAACATCTGGTGGTTTAACCCCCAACCCAACCTCTTACAGCAACGAGGCTTCGGCTCCCATTTTTAAAGTCTCTGCTAGGACCCGACCGGGACTTGAGCCCTGATCAGCCCACTGATTACAGGTTAAATATAGTTTTTATTACTTTATTTAGAAAATGCTACTACTAATAATAAATAGGAAAAGATAAAGTAGATGACTTTTAGCACAAATGGGGTTTATTTCTGGCTTTAACGTGAAAGTTCCTCGTGGACACAATGATTCCAGGCTCCAAGAGAAGGGGATGCCAAAAACAAGCAAAACCACCAAGTCACAAATTGGTCATGTGATCACAAGTTGGTGACAATAATAAAAACAATCAGCAGCCACTCAATCAGTGTGTTTACATGCAGTTAATCAGCTGTAACACAGTGGGAGTCTTTACCCTAGTTTACATGTATGTTAGAAAACCGAACTCTCTAATGAAGCTCGTTCCACTCCGCTACAGTAGGTGGCGACATGCGCCCTTTCATGTCAGCATTCTTCCAGTTAGTCTTAGCGGCACAAATAGTAAACAAACGCTGTAGGGTTAGGGTTGGGGGTGAAGCAGATGGAGTTAAACAGGATATGCACGATGGCTGAAGGAATGGACAACGCTGCAGCACAGCTGATTTGGTGCGTCCTGTCCTGTACTGATGGTGTTATAAGTGTTACTTTGTGGTGATGTTGTTATCAGAAGATCGCTTCTGCAGTCTTGTTACTTCTGGAAGTCACCGGTATCAGCCGGACTGACCCGTTTACATGCAGAGGAAGTCGGGTTCCAACTGCATTATCTGGGTGCTTCAGCTGGATTAGGAGCAGTTGGCCTTAAGCCAGACTAACATGTTTACATGTAAACAAACAGCAATGTCTAATTAAGGCAATAGTTGGGTTTTCTGATGCAGATGTAAACCTACTGAGTGTGGTAATGGCCAGCCAGCTCTGAACATCTTTTCTGTAAATGTGTTAGGACTTCAGAGATAACACACTCCGTAGTTTCCTTTTACACCACTATCAGGGATGCAACTCTGCACCACACACAAAAGTAAAGTATGAGGTACTTCAAGTCCAAAGATTTCCAAAAACAGAGGTTTTATGACCTCGGGACGTGCAGGAATGACAAATAACTGATCAAGTATTCACCCCCAGATCAGATAACACGCCTCAGCTGCCTGATTCTGTCCAAAACAGGGTCTGTGCGGACGCTGTGAGACGTTTGTGAAGCTAATCCAGAGGCAACAAGAGCCTATTGTGTGACTTCATGGTGCAGTCAGACAGCTCACTATTGTGCTGTTCTGTTGAGGAGGGTACTCACGTCAAAACCAGTGTTTGGATCCCAGCCCACATGACCGATGTGTCTGAGGGAGGAACAGAAGCATGGTCAGGAAGCATGCACACACGTGCACTCACACACACATATATTGGCATGGAATAAACATCACATCTTGCACACACACGTGCACTCACATCTACTGGTTCCAGCAGAACGTCCACACTCGTATGAGGACCTCATTTACAGCCACGTCTAAAAAACCTGAGCATCATTCCAGAAAGTGAAGCTCCTGTCTTATTTATAATAACACCTAAAGTGAAATTCTGCTTGTCACATGATTAGGACTCAGAGATCAACTAAAAAGAAAGGGTCAGGTTATGCAATTTTGTCTTGCATGAAGGTGTTATGGCACGAAGGACTCAGAACACTTCAGTTGGATGTCTGACTGGTACCAGGAGCAGAATAGCTGATGAAGACGCGTCGCACAAACACCTGTGAAACTTCTGAAGAAGACCGCAGACGAAGGTCGAAACATTTAAAAAGGTAATTAGAAACACCTTCATGTCCGAAGCAAAAAGAACCTCGTTTAATATTTAAAAAGAGGACATAATGAACATCGTAAACGACCAGGAGCAGAGGCAGATATTTTAGCCCTCATTTCAACTCCATGTGACATTTATGGCTCATTTTTCTCTCATGTGAGCATCTTTGAGGGCTGCTTGAGTTGTACGTCATGCAGCATACAGCACAGGGGTAACAGGAAGCAATTAACACCTCCTGACACGATATTGTGTGGTTGCACAAATATGATAAATGACCCGCATCTTTCTGAGTCAGAGGACTCCAAAGCGCTTTACACTACAGTGCATCATTCATCCATTCACACACACATTCACACACTGGAATAGGGTTGCAGTGATTATACATTTTAGTGGAACAATTGTACTCTGAGAAATAATCACCATTTCACGATTACCATGATTATTTTACATGAATGGATTTCACATCTGTATTAACATGTTTGTATGATCTGAACTCGAGTGATGTTTCGTTATTGGACTTCTGTGCAAGCCGCAGTTTGGCCATAACGAACACCATGTTCGAACATAAGGATGCCCATCGGTACACTTGGTAGCAAGGCAGCCTAGGTCGCAGGTCGATGACAGACTTTGTAGTCGTATCATCTGACCTGCGGCCGTATGTTTTGGACACCCGAGTGAAGAGAGGAGCGGAGCTGTCAACTGATCACCACCTGGTGGTGAGTTGGATCAGATGGCAGGGGAAGATGCCGCGTAGACCTGGCAGACCCAAACGCATAGTGAGGGTCTGCTGGGAACGCCTGGCAGAAGAACCTGTTAAGACGTCTTCAACTCCCATCTCCGGCAGAGCTTTGACCGCGTCCCAAGAGCAGTGGGGGACATTGACTCCGAGTGGGCCTTGTTCCACTCTGCGATTGTTGAGGCGGCTGTTGATAGCTGTGGTCGCAAGGTGGCCGGCGCCATTCGTGGTGGAAACCCCTGTACCCGCTGGTGGACACCAGAGGTTCGGGGAGCCGTCAGGCTGAAGGAGGAGGCCTACAGGGCGTGGCTGGTCTGTGGGTCTCCGGAGGCAGCAGACAGGTACCGGATAGCCAAGGGGGGGTGCAGCAGTGGCAGTTGCTGAGGCAAAATCTCGGGCGTGGGAGGAGTTTGGTGAGGCCAGGGAGAAAGACTATCAATCGGCTCCAAAGAGGTTCTGGCAAACTGTCCAGTGCCTCAGGAGAGGAAGGCAGCAACTCGCTCACACTGTTTACAGTGGGGATGGGGAGCTGCTGACGTCAACTGGGGCTATAGTCGGGTGGTGGAAGGAATACTTTGAGGAGCTCCTCAATCCCACCTACACACATTCCGAGGAGGAACCAGAGCCGGGAGACCTGGGGATGGACTGTCCAATCTCGGGGGCAGAAGTTGCTGAGGTAGTCAAACAACTACACAGCGGCGGAGCCCCGGGGGCAGATGAGATTCATCCTGGGTATTTCAAGGCTATGGATGTTGTAGGGCTGTCGTGGTTGACACGTCTTTGCAACATTGCGTGGTCATCGGGGGCAGTTCCTGTGGAGTGGCAGACCGGGGTGGTGGTTCCCATCTTTTAGAAGGGTGAGCAGAGGGTGTGTTCCAACTATAGGGGGATCACACTCCTCAGCCTCCCTGGAAAGGTCTACTCTAAGGTACTGGAGAGGAGGGTCCGATCGAAAGTTGAATCTCAGATTGAGGAGGAGCAATGTGGTTTTCGTCCTGGCCGTGGAACTGTGGACCAGTTCTATACCCTTGCAAGGGTGATGGAGGGGGCATGGGAGTTTGCCCAACCAATGAGTTTTGTGGATTTGGAGAAGGCTTATGACCGTGTCCCCAGGGGCACCCTGTGGGGGACGCTCCAGGAGTATGGGGTGGGTGGCTTTCTGTTAAGCGCCATTCAGTCCCTTTACCAGAGGAGCGTGAGTTTGGTCCGCATAGCCGGTAGTAAGTCAGACCTGATCCCGGTGAGGTTTGGACTCCGCCAGGGCTGCCCTTTGTCACTGGTTCTGTTCATTACCTTTATGGACAGAATTTCTAGGTGCAGTCGTGGTGTGGAGTGTGTCGAGTTTGGTGGCAGGAGAATCTCGTCTCTGCTTTTTGCGGATGATGTGGTCCTCCTAGCTTCATCCAGCTCTGACCTTCAGCTCTTGCTGGGTAGGTTCACAGCCGAATGTGGAGCGGCTGGGATGAGGATCAGCACCTCCAAATCTGAGACCATGGTTCTCGACTGGAAAAGGGAGGTCCTTCCTCAAGTGGAGGAGTTTAAGTATCTCGGGGTCTTGTTCACGAGTGAGGATAGAAGGGATTGGGAGATTGACAGGTGGATTGGTTCAGCATCTGCAGCGATGCGGACGCTGAGCCAGAAAGCTAGGCTCTCGATTTACCGGTCGATCTACATCCCAATCCTCACCTATGGTCATGAGCTTTGGGTAATGACCGAAAGAACGAGATTGCGGATACAAGCGGACGAAATGAGTTTCCTCCGTAGGGTGGCCGGGCTCAGCCTTAGAGATAGGGTGAGGAGCTCAGACATTCGGGAGGGACTCGGAGTAGAACCGCTGCTCCTCCGGATTGAAAGGAGTCAGTTGAGGTGGTTTGGGCATCTGGTCAGGATGCCTTCTGGACACCTCCCTGGGGAGGTGTTTCGGGCATGTCCTGCTGGCCGGAGGCCCCCGGGTCGACCCAGGACACGTTGGAGAGGTTAGATCTCCAATCTGGTCCGGGAATGCCTTGGGGGTCCTGCCAGAGGAGCTGGTGGAGGTGGCCGGGGAGAGGATGGTCTGGAGCTCCCTAGTTGGGATGCTGCCCCCGCGACCCCGACCCGGATGTAGAACAGGAATTACAGAGAGGTGTAGTTGATTAAATATTAAAAAGGCCGAACAGTAAGTGTGTCTGCGGCCCGATCCAGCTTTTGTGCCTAAAGTAATGGAGTCATCTTATAGCCGCTCCCCTGTGGAGCTGCTGGCTTTTCACCCACCTCCTTTTTCCTCAGCAGAAGAGCAGAAGCTTAATTGTCTCTGCCCTGTTCAAGCTTTAAGGGCTTATATGGACAGGACTGCTGGTCTCAGAAAATAAGACCAGTTGTTTGTTTCTTGGGCCACGGCCCATAAAGGCAAGCCTGTGTCTCGCCAGAGACGGGCACACTGGATTGTAGAAGCAATAAGCCTTTCATATAGGTGTAAGGGTGCTGAACCTTTGTGGGTGTGAGGGCTCATTCTACAAGGAGCATGGTCACATCCTGGGCCCTGTTTCGTGGTGTGTCAGTCCAGGATATTTGTGCAGCAGCTAGCTGGGCCACGCCGCTAACTTTTGTGCAGTTTTACAGGCTGGATGTTTCTCAACCTTCACTGGCACATTTAGTGCTGGAGGCAGGACGCACAGCGTATGCCTAGTGGTTAAACAGAATTTTGCTGCAGCTCGCTTCGGGATGGACATGCAATCCGGGCGAGCGAGTTGTAAACAGAGCAGCATGGTAGAAAGAACGCACGCTAAAGCTTGGGTCCACTTCACTAAATGTGATGGGTAACTGGGTGATGATGAAACTAGCGACAACGATCTAAGTGAGACATCCTCATCTTAATCTGTTCCGGTAGGTAAATAAAATGTTTAAGATAATGTTAGCTTGATTTGTTAGCTTCTGTTCCGCTAATGGTGCGTTCGCTTTCTCCTCGGAACTACGAATCTCCAGCTAGAAGAACATGAACGCGCTCTAAAGTTTGGCTTCACTTTACTAAATGTGACGGGTGACTGGGTGAGGATGAAACCAGCGACAACGATCAAAGTGTGAGGCATCATCGTTTTAATCTGCTCCAGCAGCTAAATAAACGGTTTAAGATAACGTTAGCTTGATAAGTTAGCTTCCATTGCCACCATTGTTATCAGCTAACGGTGTGTTCGCTTTCTCCTGGGAAATTCTACTTCCCAGTAGGAAAAATCAAAGAAAAAGGACAGCAAAAAGAATGAAGATACGTAGTAAATTTAGTTCACAGTAAAGATGTTTGCTTCAGTTTAATTATCAGCTTATAAAACTACAAGGACGATGTTAAAATACAAACAGTTGTAAGTTATTTATCGTGATATTTATCACATATGGTTATATAATGAGAAAAACATATATTTTATTATAAAAGAGAATTAAAATATTAAACACTCAAAAGTATCTAAAACTGGTACCGTTAAGTACCGGTATCGATTCCTAGGTACCGGGAATTAGTACCGAATCGATTCAAATGTCAAAGGTACCCATCCCTAACATTACGTAAACCTAGGTTCTCTTAATGGTGTCTTAATGGTCTTGGGTAGGGGTGTAATGGTACGCTAAACACGTATTTGGTTCACTTCAGCGTTTAGAAGGGCTTGTTCCAATAATTTTTGGTATATTATTATTAGATTTATGTATTTATTTAAAATCTGAAGCGTCTCCTACAGTGAGCAGAACCAGGTACCATCACAGGCTGCTAATCTAGCATGATGTACTTAATTATTTCACAGGGTATTTGCGCCACAGACATATGCATATAGGGCTGCTCAATTAATCGAATTTTAATCACAATTACGATCTGAGTTTTGAACGATTATACAAACAAAACAAGCTGATTACTTGCTCCTCCCACTTGCGCTGCCCTGAGTTGCAAATGAAGCGCTCCTCCCACAGTGTTGCCAACGACTTTGACGCTATTTCTAACAGCTTTTCAGACCCCCTTCTTGACTTTTTAAATCTTAAAAGTACCTAGCGAACACCTCAGAAACATCTCTGGTAACCCTAAGCTACTTTCTGGATAACTGTCGTTGACATTTCCTGCAGGTTAGCTAAACACCCCGCCTGTGCTCCGGACCGTTCTTCAGGACATTAGGAAAGGGAATGATGTAGTGATGTGTCAGTCGCTACAGAAACGGCTCTCAGAGCCGGCTACCTGTGGATTAACCAGAGTGAGTGATACATACCGCACCTGTGGGCTCCTGAGCCGCTCAAAACGGCTAAATGTGTGCGTGTGGCGCGCTAAACACACGTGCAGCTTGCCCCTGATTGCTGTGAGACCGGGTTGGGGGTGGGGGGTGCAGCTGTGGTTGGGACAATTATTACATTAACTGATGGACTTGTAAATACATAGTTTATAAATAAGGTAGAAATAAGTTCCTCACGCTGAAAACTAAAACTAACTTCTCTGAGGACAAGGTGCTAGTGCACTCTCCTACAGCACCTTGACGCGACTAAATAAATGTTACGCAACATTTTGTGAACATCAATTTATTTGCATTAATTTGTTATAAATGCCACTGTATAATTCTTGATGTCAGTATTTGCAAGATATTGGTATTTGGGTCTGTACTAGGGTTGTCACGATACTAAAATTTCAAACTCGATTCGATACTTGAAAAAAACTCGATACTCGATTTCGATGCTATTTAAAAACACCCATTTATCGAACAAGTTTATTAAAAAAAAACATTCCTCAATTTATATTACAAAAATTAAATGTTAAGAATTAAGTGTATTAAGTGCTTAAACCTTTCAAGTATCAGCATTTTTTAAAACATGCATACAAAAACTGGTGAAAGTTAACACTTTAAATCATGAATTGTCTCACTATATACACTATTTGCAGAGTGATGTTTTTCTGCTTAAACTCTGTTTAAGGTGCATTTTTGTCATAAGATGTAATGCCATATGTTTTGTTCTGTACTTTTGAACAACTCTGTTGGTCAATAAAGGGAGAAAACGAATTTCTCCACAGTAGGACAAAGGTACATCTACCGGTAATAATAAAAACAGACTGGCGCACGGCAGTGACGTCATTAAAAGCGCCGGTTAGATTAGCCGCAGCTAGTCTGTTCACGCCTAGAAATCCCAGACCAGACCCGCTCCAAACGAACAGGGGAATCACGTTAATGATTCCTAACAAAGCCTTTCGACATGAAGATGTTTTGGTGCAGATAATGTCTTATTTCGAGGCTGCACCATGGGTGCCCGTCCGCACCCGTTATATGGATATACGCTGACGGCGATTCGGCGATGGATCTAAATACCCCGGGGAATCCAAGTAGCACCAAAGTTGTCAGCGTGAGTAAACAAACGTACTGCATGCTAGAAATTAAGTCCGGGTTGCAATAAACGGGAGTTTCCTTTAAGCACATAAGCGTGAATATACAACTACGTGTCGGACTTGGTATGCTAATTAAGTTGGGCTGTGAAGCGCCTCCCAAATTCACTGTTTATGTTTTTGTTTATTTATTTGGCAGACAAAACTTGGATCGGAGACAACTCGCGTGGGAAATTGCAATGTAGCCATGCGGCGTCTTCTTCTGTTTGTCTGGGAGGCGAAGGTTGCTTTACGGCATCTGGCTGTCGTGCGTGTCGGTGTACTTGAAGAAGGCAGTGTATAATAGTCCATAATATCGATACCACAGGGATGGAATATCTAATTTAGATACCACTTTTAGTATCGATTTATATCTGGGTATCGATTTTTTTGACAACACTAGTCTGTACTGGTTAGACTTAAATGAGTTAAACCAAGGTCTATAGCCTTTGGGTCATAAACCTGGGGGGGGGGGAACACATGAGTAGCAGCAACAGTCAACTGGTTTGATCAGCTCTGAAAGACGTTTATCAGAATTTGCAGATCACATTTTTTAAACGGAGATCTGGCACGTGCCGCCATCATGCGTCACTCAATACAGCGTCCGTGCGGAAAGTCGCCGAGGAACTTTTATCTGCTGCACTTAAATCACGTTAATGTGTGAAAAGTTCATTATTTAACGGAACAAATAAACTGAAACGGTATGCAAGTGGACCGAACCGAACTGTTCGAACCGAAGTGTCCAAACCGCAACGTTCGAATAACCCCCATGAGCCATTACACCCCTAGTCTTGGGCCCTTTTATTTCTCACGCCTGCTTTTACCATATGAACCTTTGCAGCCTCTGCACTCCTCAGGCAGCCGTCTCCTGATTATTCCTGAATTCAGGACACATCTCATAGCGAGGTATCTTTCCAGTGTTATGGTTCTTTTGCCTCTGGAACAAGTTGCAGGAGGACCTCAGGGTCACAGAGAACATCCACGTTGTTAAGAGCAGGCTCAACACCCAGCTTTTTAGCTTTTTACTGATGGTTATTTATTATAGTCAATTATTTACTTTGCATATTTTAATTGATTACATTTTATCACAGTTTTATTCTACGTGTATATTATTTTAATATTTATTACCATCCATCTATTTTCAACCGCTTATCCAGAGTCGGGTCGCAGAGGCAGCAGCCTAAGCCAAGAGGCCCAGACTTCCTTCTCCCCAGCTACTTGGGCCAGCTCTTCTGGGGGAATCCCAAGGCGTTCCCTGACAGCAGAGGTACATAGTCCCTCTAGCACATCCTGGGTCTTCCCTTGGGTCTCCTCCCAGTTGGACGTGCCTGGAAAACCTCACCAGGGGTACAGTACGACTGTGCCAAGGCTTTAATCGGTGTAGGATGGATAGGAATGAGGGTTATGTAGGCAAAATGTAATTTGTAAAGCCCTCCGTGTTGCATTTTTAGGGAAAGCGCTTTATAAATAAAGTTTGACTGATTGACTCACTGGAAGTTGCTGGGTGTTCCGATGTCAGCCTTTGTCAGTTTCTTCTTCTTGCCTTTGGTTTTCTTATCCTTACGGATCAGACTGCTGTGGCTCAACATGTTATTGAGATGGTAGGGCTGCTGGTGGCTGTGGGAGCTGTGGTGTCTGACGTTGTTGATTTCTGGGTTCTTGATGTCCACGGTGGCCATGGGCAGAGAGGGACCTGCAGACGGAACGGGGGAGGTCAAAATAAAGTGAACGATTTTCGATCAAAGCTCAGATTTAAGCACAGATAGATGTCTTTACTAAAGCCCATTACCCCTCTATGGTTCTCTCGCACACCCACCCACCTTTATGTTACACTCTGATTATAGAAATATGAATGTCAGGTCAGACAGGATTTGTGTTTATTCTTTAGAACGTGAGTTCATTTTCCTCCTTAAAACAAGTATTTGTTTTTCTTCACAAACCATCTTCCGTAACTCTGACAGGTCATTAATAACAAAGAAAAAGGGGTCACTTCATGGCTTTCTGCAACATGCCTTCAATAATCCTGCAGAACATAAAACCACTAAAGCCTGGATGACACCGTGCGCCAGTGGCACAGGATTGTTCATGTCACACTGTGAGAACTCCAGAAAGGTGGCACACTGTACGGCACAAGAATTTGGTGAGGCAGACTGCACGACGTCTCTCTCCAGCAGGACACGCTGCGTCATGAGCACACCTCCCGAAGCACACGTCACTAAGCAGACCGCTAACCACAACAAAGCTGAAAAAATGCAATACTTCGTTTTAGTGTCATGACCCAGCTCATCTTCCTCAAAGAGGAAGCTTCGTTTTTAAAAACCCTCGCTTTGGCGTCAGACTCCGGCTGCAGGTTTCATCCTTCTCCTCCTTTATCCACAAGAACCCACTAAACTAGAGAGAAGTAACAATCTGTCACAGATCACTGCAATATCTAAGCTTCTGCCATGAGTTCTGTCTCGCTGCCCCGCTCCATGTGACAGCTCACACCCGCTGTCGCACAGCTTCCTCTGTTCCTCTGCAGCAAAACGCTACTGAACCATCCTCATCGGTTGAATTTGTGAAATTTCCACCAACAGCAAAAGGATCTCGTGTTTTTGCGTATTATTTTTTACGCCCGTGAGCCCATTTCCTCGCACATTCTCACGGTTTTCACAATTTATCTGATTAGTCTAAAAAGGTAGTTTAATTATTTTAAGTATGACTTAACTTGGACTATTAACAGAAATAAAATCAGCATTTTAAACATGAATTGAAACCGAAGCTCAGAGAGGCAGAGTCTTGCTGCTGCGGCGTTCCAAAGGTGTGTTTTCATTGGTTGGTTGCAGACAGGAGTCGTACGTTTTCAAGCAGTGCTTGTAGACCGTTTGAGGCTAATTTGGGCCGTGGGACGGCTCAAAAAGCTGTCGCAGGTCAGACTGGACGACCACTGATTTGCAAATCACCCTCACGTTCACCGTTTTTTTAACGATTAAGCTCCCGATGAGGGATCTGGATAAGACGGCCGCAAATCGCACCGTGTGATCCGGGCTTAAGGCAAAAAGCTGCTAGAAATTATATTTCTATTTCCTCCATCTGCACCCAGCTGTTCCGTCCATCCATCCATCTAACCCTCGATCCAACCATTGATCCATCCAACCCACCACCCATCCGTCCATATAACCATCTAACCAACCAATCAACCATCCATCCATCTGTCTGTCCATCCATCCATCAATCCAATCATCCATCCATTTATCCAACCAACCATCCATCTAACCCTTGATCCATCCAACCCACCAACCAACCTCTTCTTGAGATTCAAATCAGGCCTCAAAATTCTTATAATCTGAATGAAATGCAGCAACATCTGACATGACCACTAATCTACTGCTAATCCCAGTCCAAATCCCATGTGCCCCCATGAATGCAGGATTTCTATAACCTGACCAAGAGGCTTTTCTTAAATCTCTCATCTCGTGCAGTACACGACAGGCCTAAGACCAGTTACACCAGTACAGAGCCTTGATGGTTCTGTGATTGGCTAAAATTCACCAGAGCTCCTAGAAATAATTCTTAAAACCTAATTAATCCTGGAGGGAAATAAGATGTTGTATTACTCTTATTTAAGTTTCCTGGAAGAGTCTCTGAGCCCGGTTCTAACAGGTTCTGCTTGTGGTTGTCCATCATGTTCTGAAGAATGTTCATTTGTCCAAACAGTGCTACAACTATCCATCTGGAATCAGTAAGTGTTCCTGATTGTTTACTCATCTCCCATAACAGATATTATGCTGTAATATGCCCTGAAAGCTCAGGTGTTACTAGAACTAACCGCGTCTCCTCACCACGCAGCGTGAACGTTTACTCATGCATGTAGATTCCTGTAACACACTTTTCACATGTGTTAAAGGACCCGTATCATGCTATTTTACACCCCCCCACTTTATGAAATAGAAGGTATTTTCATGAGCCATTACTTCAACCCAGAAATAAGACCCGTGGATTTGATTAAACCAACTTGCCCGTGTGAATTTCACAATAGTATGTGACTGCACCATCTTGTCCCACACAGCCCTTTACAACTTTTTATAGAGTACTGACTATAACTTTCTGTGCTCTACATGGTCATGCTCCTGTTCCAGCCCGAGCCCTCAGGTTCTCAAACCAGAATCTTCTAAAAGTTCCAAAGACCAGATTAAAAAGTCCAGGGGCCTCATTTATGAAACGTTCGTAGAAACTGTCCTTTATTCTCTCCTACAACCAAAATTTAGAATGTGTGTACGAACAGTCAGAATCCTGATTTATGAAACATGCGGTGGCCTCTCGTACGCATGTTCCTCCGCAATCGTCTGATGAAAAATCCCACCTGTCCCATTCTGGTAAATCCTCCAATAACACAGAACAGCCAAGATATAATGTTAGATTCCCGTTGGTCACAGGTGTCTTTTATTGGTTTTAGCACCAATTTTGCGAAAATGCCGTTTTTCCACTGACAAAATTACATACTGGATGAATAAAATTTGTGGATGAGAAACACATTTGAATGACTGACAGACATTCGGTGTTACGCTTCCCCGTTCTGCCACTAGATGCTGTGCGTACGCATGGTCAGAGATGTTCTTACATTTAGGAACGTTTCTACCAACAAGTACAAATGATAAATACCACACAATGCCTAGAAGTGTTCCTACGCATGAAATACGCACAAATCTGTTTGTAAGTACGTTTGATAAACGAGGCCCCAGGTGATCGCTCCTTCCAGGGTGTTGCACTTCAACTGTGCAATGAACTTCCTTCATTTTTACTATCTGAACACCTTTAAATAGCACACACTCTCTTTTTGTGGTCATTTGAATTGCTAATTTAACTACATTGAACTTGGCTGGAATTTCCCATTTAAACTTGACATTTTTGTGTCATGCATTAAAGTGACAACGTGTAGTTTTTTTCATTAATCTTTGGAAATGACCATAGAAGTGTTGTTGTAAAAGAATTAAAAGATGCCCAGTTGGCGAAAAATATTGGCAGTTTCATAACATTTAACCATAAAAACCTAAAATACATGGGAGCGGGTCTTAAGTCTCTGTGCGACGCCATATTAGATGCCATGTTACCTTCTACGGATGCCCGTGAGGACAAAATGCATTTACTGATTTGTAACAAATGGTTACAAAACTTTCACCATTAATAAATGTTGTTGCTTTACACGTTAACCTCTTCACTCATTGCCAGTGATGAAAGGGAATCTGATGTTCTTGTTATTTTGCTGGAGGTTGCGTTCCCGGGGATTGTTGACCCCTAAAGGCCATTTGTTGGTAAGGTCTTACTTAAACACAAAAGCGTTGCTTGCAATAATTTAGGTATTGGCCCCTATCGCCAGGGAAACTACACACTGTCACTTTAAATCATTTTTGTTTTGCTTTATTGATAATTTAATCCCTTATTCTCGAGTAAAATAAAAACATATCGTTGACAAGCAACTTGTGAGCTGCTACACACACAGGGATGGTGCACATAGCTTTTACACAAAACACGTTTTAACTTACAGAGTCTGTCATTTTGATGTATGAGCAGAGAGCGCCAGGAATCAGCTTTTAATGAGCGCTTTAATGGTTTTGCCGCTCTAGCGATGTGGCGCTGTTGGGGTAACTCTTTTCAGACAAAGAACCGAGTCTAACTACAGAACCAAAGTGGATACTGACATAACACTGGTGCGCAAAGGTGCGGGTTTCAATGAGGAACAGATGAGGGAGGGGTAACTAGCGAGTGCGTCAGAGAGACCGGACTGATGTTTCAGAGCAAAACTATGAGAAAAGTGTGACTGTTTAACATCCTCATAATAAAAGGTGTTCACCCACACGGGTCAGTTTGTAGCGCCCATGCCGGTGTCTCTCATTCTGTTCGATTTATTTGTATTTGGGCCGATAAATATATTTTTATTCAGTAACGGACCCGATTGAAAATGTAACAAAGTACAATACCTTCACAAAAACATACAAGTAAAAGTACATACTTTAAAAATGACAAAAAGGTATAAATAAACAAAAAACTACTTATCTACAGTAACGCGAGTAAAAGTAATTTGTTATTTTCCACCTCTGGGTGAAAAAACATCCTTGTGGAGAACCTGTGGAGAAACACCTGATCAGACAATGTGTTGTTCATTCTCACTCTTCATGTTCTGTTTGATAAAAAATCTAGAATGTTGCCCATAAAGTTAAAACTTATGATATAAATGCCTGTATTAAAATGTGGGGTTGAATTGTGGACCATTTGTCCCCCGTTCGCTGACCGTCAGAGCAGGTGGTGTGGTTTTTTCTTCAGCGTGAGAGATTGGAGGTGTGGCGTGAGAACGTGTTACGATATCCTCATATGTAATCTCAGCATGGTAGGTTTGTGTTCTCGTCTCTCCTTAAGAAGATCAAAAACATCAAAACTGCGACTGAGATCAAACTACCGGACACCGGCCAGCACATTTCTCTTTAGCATCCCTTGATAGTCGAGATTTCATTGCAGCCTGCACAGATTCAAGACACCCCATGCCAGATGCAGCAAAGTAGCCGCAGAACATAACAGGGCCTCCTCCATGTTTCACAGTAGGGACAGTGTTCTTTTCTTGATGGGTTTCATTTTTCCGACTGTGAACATAGATCTGATGTGTGTTGGCAAGAAGTTCCATTTTGTCTCATCTGTCCATAGGACATTCTCCCAGAAGCTTTTTGGCTTGTCTCCATGTCGATTGGTGTATTCCAGTCCGTCCTTTTATGATTTGTTTTCAACAATGGTGTCCTCCTTGGTTGTCTCCTATGCAGTCCACTTTGGCTCAAACAAAAATGATTGGTGAGATCTGACACTGGTGTTCCTTAAGCTCGAAGGTCACCTTGGATCTCTTTAGAAGTTTTTCTGGGTTAGGGTTAGGTTTGATTTGTCATCAGTTTTCCCTCTGCGGTCACGTCCATGGAGGTTGGCTACAGTCCCGTGGATCTGCAGTTTCTAATGAATATTTGGAACTGTTGTCACAGGTAGGGTTGGGCATCGTTTGATTTTGAACGATTCTGATTCCAATTCCTCGTTTCGATTCCGGTTCCTATCGATTCCCGATTCCGATTGTATGAAGACATGACATGTTTTACATGAGCCAGCTAACCACAGGTCCTACTTGATGAAATAATCTTAACTTCAACATGAATTTTAACCCTATGAACAACAACATCACCTTCATTAAGACAAAAACATATTTTGGAGGAAAAAACAAAAAGACTTACAGCACAACCAGTGTGTTTGTTTCTGACCACAACCAAAGTCTGGAAGAAGCCTCTGGGATGAGAGGCTAAATGTCTCCAACACATCCAGAAACGTCCAGCTGTCTTCAGCTAAAACTCTCAGGATGATCATGTCCAGGATGACTGAGAACTACACCTCCATGCTGCAGCAGCATTCAGTCAGGACAGAAACTTAAATGTAGCTGCTGTCAGTAACAATCTGACAGATTTTAAACATTAAAACTCTCAACGGAAATAGTTCAGAAAGGAAATAAAATATGTTATTTATTATTATTATTTATTGTGGCAGAAGCTGATGTGGTCCACCACAGAGAAGCTGCTCTAGCATGATGACTACAGGTTATTGTTCAGCCTTCTGACGCTCATGCTCACACACACACACGCACACACGCACACGCACACACACACACACACACACACACACACACACACGAGTGTTGGTGAGCGGCTGCGTCTGACTGCTGGTGCCCCGTGTGTGTTTTTATTTCTGCAGTGAGACAAACTCACCTCACATCATCCACAGTTTGTTCTTAAAGCTTCCATTAAATCCACCGTGTTGATGTATTTTAACAAGTTTCCTCTACGCTGCAGGAGTTAAAGTTTACATTACAGAGTAGAAGTTCAGCAGACGCGTTTGTTTGTATCTGGGTGGGGGGAGGAGGGGGACTCGTGCTGCACACAGACAGCTGGTGTGATCAGCCCTGAAAAGCCTTGATCACAATTTGCAGCTCACGTTTATTTTTCACGGAGATCGGCCGCAGATTCCTCTTCCGTCGGCATTCTAGGAATCTAAACAAAAAAACTTTGAACGATTCCGGGAAAAACTAACAGTTGGAACCAGTTCCAGTCGATACTCGATGCCCAACCCTAGTCACAGGAACATCTAGCTGCTAGGAGATGGTCTTCTAGTCTTTACCTTTAACATGCGTGTCTATAATTTTACTTCTAATCTCCTGAGACAACTCTATCCTTCACTTCCCCTGGTCCATGCTGAGTGTGGTACACACCATGTCACCAAACAACCCAGTGACTACCTGGAGCCCTAGATATGGGCCCACTGACTGATTACAAGATTGTACACACCTGCGATGCTGATTAGTGGACACATCTTGAATTAACATGTCCTTTGGTCACAATATTTTCAGTCTTTTCTAGGGGTACCATCATTTTGTCCAGGCCTGTTCCATGACTTTATTGTTTTAAACAGTTCTGTTGAAGCACGGTTGAAAAGCAATGTCTGACTTTCACTCGTTACACTTCATAGAATTTGTATTTATTATTACTTTTGTCAGATTCAAGGATACCAACTACTTTGTCCAGGCCTGTATGTCTTTCAACTGGGCCTTTTACCTCGTCAAGACCGTTTGTACTTGGGTAGGAGGTGGACACAGTTATGATCTCCATTGCCCAAAGATGGCAATGCAAAAGCGTTGTATGCCCCTTTCACTGACCCACAGCAGAGGTTAGAGTCTTATCACACCTGGTGGGGCAGGTGACACACTGGGTAAAAATTGGAATTGTCTAATTTTAGAGGGACATGATAAAAACCACCCAGTACAAAATTCGAAGAGGTGAACTGGACTGAAGCTTGCAAGCAGAGGACGCACAGGTTCTGGGAGGAATACATACAGTAATAAATGCTGGGAAATCACCTGAGGCAGATAAAACGGGCACAAGGACACTGACAAGAGATCCACCTCTGAAGTACAGGATGGTACACGCTTAGGCTTAGCCCCACCCACCAAGTTAGAGTCTATGCTTTCGTTCTTTTTTAAACACAGAAACAGTTTTGTTTACCTGTTTGTAGCTACGGTTTCGCCGACAGCTGCCGGCTTCTTCAGGCTGACGCTGATGGTGGCGCGTCACTTCCTTCTCCGTTTATCTGCGGGCAGCAGAGGACGTTGTCGCCCTCTACTGCCCGCTCTCCCCTCTCCGACGATGCAGTCCCATGCGTGGTCCAGCGTGTAAACTCCGTCGTCCCTGTTCATGGTCCCACATCCACGTCTCCTTATCTCTATTGCTTCCTTGATCCATCTTTTGTATTTTTGTTGTTCAGTGGTTATGATCCGTGTGCTGTCCCAGTCCATTATATGGTTTTCTCTTAAGCAATGATCTGTTACGGCTGACTTTTTTATTGTACTTTCTGCTTCTTCTTTTGCTGCTCTTGTGTGTTTACGATTTGTTTCTTTCTCGCACTCCTTTCTGTGTTCTATTGTCCGTGTATTGAGTTGGCATCCGGTTTCTCCTATGTATGTTTTATTGCATATTTTGCAAAAGAAGAAGCAGAAAGTACAATAAAAAAGTCAGCCGTAACAGATCATTGCTTAAGAGAAAACCATATAATGGACTGGGACAGCACACGGATCATAACCACTGAACAACAAAAATACAAAAGATGGATCAAGGAAGCAATAGAGATAAGGAGACGTGGATGTGGGACCATGAACAGGGACGACGGAGTTTACACGCTGGACCACGCATGGGGCTGCATCGTCGGAGAGGGGAGAGCGGGCAGTAGAGGGCGACAACGTCCTCTGCTGCCCGCAGATAAACGGAGAAGGAAGTGACGCGCCACCATCAGCGTCAGCCTGAAGAAGCCGGCAGCTGTCGGCGAAACCGTAGCTACAAACAGGTAAACAAAACTGTTTCTGTGTTTAAAAAAGAACGAAAGCATGGATTTACAAAGACACAGCAAGAACACACCTAAGATGTTCAAAAAAAGTTAGAGTCTAACTGGTGACTGAAACACTCCTCTGAGTTTACTGGTCCATACCAGCCCACAACAAACCACTTTAACCCAGACCATTCCACTCAATGGAACCAAAGCTTATGTGACACAAAAACACAACCCAGCACAATAATGGCAGTGATGTTGAACATTATGCTCAGTCTCTGGTTTTTTGTCAGACAGGAAACGGCTGCAGGCAGCAAGCAGAAAACTCTTGAGCAACCAGTAACTCCACCTGTAGTGAATCCAATGACAGACATTTGTCAATGTAGCATTTTTGGCTAGGCTCTGTACGCTTGCAACCACATCAAAGCAGGTACTGAAAACTCAGCAGATAATGTTGGAAAAGCCTCCCGATTGTACTGAATCATCGAGTCATGCTGAGAAATTCCATATGGAATCACGGTTAATGCAGAGTGCGTCAGAAGCCTGGAGGCTCCGTGGCAGCTACGTAGGCATCTTACGTTAGGAATTATAGCACAAAAGGTCAACAACAGGTCAAAAAGGTAAAATGAGTTTATGTTTTATGGGTTTTGCTAAGTAATCCAATGCGTGGTTTTCCAAATGTGGCTTTATACAGGAACTCCTACCCTGCCTTCAAGACTATGATTATACATTTTACACTTTGTGAGGGATCTGCAGAAATCCAGCAAGATGCCAAGAAGGTTAACGAGTTACTTTGTCCAAGAATCATGTTTAAGAAATGACCCAAGAAGTTCAAACAAGACAAAACCATACGCCGTGGGGACTGAGAGGGATTACAGATTAGGCCATCACAACAGGGCTTTGAGTGAAAAACAACAGAGACCATGTGCTCTACATATGGCACACATGGATGTCCTGCTGACCAGATTAACCTGTAGGGGACTCGAATGTGTCAGTGGGTGAGTCACACAAACTGAAACAATGCTGCCAACTTGTCAGAGTGAAAATGTAACTGTGGTCAGCAGCCTGCTAGCTTTTATCAGCCTCATAAACACCAACATCTGCTTCTGATCAGCGGCTTCCTTGTGTGCTACTAACACAGTCCCCTTCCTCTTAACCGGCAAAACAATAACAGGTTCATCAGCAGCAGCCTGCTTTAGGCTTCTGTTAATATAAAACGTCCAACTGTGGTAGAGCTGCACAAAAAAGCTCCTTCGGTTGGCTTCTAGTTGCCAGATGTTAAATGAAACAAAGTGATTTGAGTTTATAAAACAAAATTCATCAACATACCATTTTTCAGGTCACCTCTTTTCTCTGCAACAGAAAAATTAATACAACATGGTTACTCAGCAGTATGCAACGGGCAAAGATGGACGTATAATATGGAAAGTCATTTGTAGATTAAAAATAAAGAAGAAGACAGTGAGTTTCAAGAAACAAAGTATTTTGTGGATCAGTTAGTACAGTTCAAAGGTCAAGAAACTTAGTCTTTCAGCAACCACGGCACCTCGTGTAAGCAAGGGATACGCTTCCAAGAAGAGCAGAGAAAGAGGAAAGGCGGAGTGTTTGGAAACTCAGATGGATCAACAGAAACGTTTCCTGCTCTGAAACCTTCAGTCTTCAGTTTGAGTCAGTGGACGTGTCCAGGTGCGCTGACCTGACGGGGACATGGGTCAACACTGAAATCCGGATTGTTTACGTTCACTTGGAAACACACTGCACTTATTTCTCCTCTTTGGTGGAAACGGCAGAAATGCTAAGGTGCAGCTCGCCAAAATAAAAGCATCAAGTCATGTCTGAAACTCAAAAACAGCTTCTCTCTGCAGACTGTTCATTATGAACCATGTATGCTTTACCAATGTTTCCTACTCATACATGTAACAATCGCTGTTCTCATCTCTGCTGCTGAGAAAATAATAATGATCTCTGGACTCAAGACAAGAAGATCTCTTGTGTGGTTTATCCTGGAACAACATGGAACACCCACAGCCATAAGTCTTCAGCAAACAGGTCTCCACCCAGACACAGCAAAAGCACGTGGCACTAAACACAAACCAACTTCCGCTGTGGATTTTCACAATAAGAGCATCTAAAAACAAAACTTCCAAAAGAAAACAGAACTTAGAGTTGCAGTCCAACGTTTATCAAAAATTTTACAACAAAATCATGTTTACCATTTACACAGGAAGCTGTAGATGACCGTACACCATTTAGAATAAATAACTTCAGAAACTACTGATGTAAATCACCAGAGATTAGCCTGAAATAACAAAATGCATGTAATAAGGAGACCATGGGCTACAGTTTCCATGGTAACATATAATGGTAGAGTGTCCGCCCCGCTGTCTGACCGGGTCATAGCAAAGACTTTATATTTAAAGACTTTATGATTCAAGACTTTGGATTGGGGGGTTAAACCACCAAACAGTCCCAGAGCACAGCCGTGTCTACAGCTCACCGCTCCCCATGGATATGGATCAAAAGAGGAGGACAATTTTGTGTGTAACAACTATGGGGGAGAGGTCCTACCTCAAGTGGAGGAGTTTAAGTATCTCGGGGTCTTGTTCACGAGTGAGGGTAGGAGGGATCGGGAGATCGACAGGCGGATTGGTGCGGCGTCTGCAGTGATGCGGACGCTGAGCCGATCTGTTGTGGTGAAGAGGGAGCTGAGCCAGAAAGCCAGGCTCTCGATTTACCGGTCCATCTACGTCCCAATCCTCACCTATGGTCATGAGCTTTGGGTAATGACCGAAAGAACGAGATCGCAGATACAGGCGGCCGAAATGAGTTTCCTCCGTAAGGTGGCCGGGCTCAGCCTTAGAGATAGGGTGAGGAGCTCAGGCATTCGAGAGGGACTCGGAGTAGAAGCGCTGCTCCTCCGGATCGAAAGGAGTCAGTTGAGGTGGTTTGGGCATCTGGTCAGGATGCCTCCTGGACGCCTCCCAGGGGAGGTGTTTCGGGCATGTCCTGCCGGCAGGAGGCCCCCGGGTCGACCCAGGACACGTTGGAGAGGTTACATCTCCAATCTGGTCCGGGAACGCCTTGGGGTCCTGCCGGAGGAGCTGGTGGAGAAGGCTGGGGGAGGACGGTCTGGAGCTCCCTAGTTGGGATGCTGCCCCCGCGACCCGGACCCGGATAAGCGGAGGAAGACGACGACGACAACTATGGGACTTTAATCTTTAGCAAGCAGCAGAATCGAGATGTTTAGAGAAACATGAAAAAATGAACAAAATTTTAATTTGTTCCCAATCTGTATAAAAAAAAACAGTTTAAAACTTTTAGACAAAAACAAATGACACATAACCTATTTGATCCAGCTGTCACATGGGTAATGCCTTTGGAAAGGGGGAGGAAGAGTGTGACAGAATAAAAGCATGCAAGCCGAGTGGGCTGCATGTGGGGGGGTAGCATCTCACTCATACCAGGTCTTGTTATCACTAGAAACAAAAACTCCACCTGAGGACGCCACTCAGCCCCGACCGGGGGAGGGAACACGTGTACAGAACAAACACATCAGGAATCCCAGCCACCTCTGCATCAGGCCCACCGCTGAGAGGAGATCAGAGGCACCCAGGAACTTAAAAACTAGCTAACTTTACTTTTTGGTCATTGAATCTTGAAGCAGCAGCTCTCTGCTGACTTTGTTTCATGGTCTGAGCCACCTAAACCAAACGGGTGTTTGTCTATGAACACAAACCTGAAATGGTGCACCTGAGCTCAGATTATTATAGGAGACAGATAAGAGTTAGTGAAACAGAGTGAAACGTGAAAATGTCAGAGACGACGAATCTGACCTGTTTTCCGTTGTCTCCGGTTCAAAAGGTCATGGATCGCCACTCTGAATCGTTTGGCCTCTTCTTCACTGGCAAAGTTCAGACCAATCTGACAGATCTAAGGAGGATGAGTCATTGTAGAATTACTAAAGACAACTTAGACCAGAATAAAGACACCAGAGCAGCCATGAGTAGCAGCAAATGTGAAGCTGGACACTTACGTCTCCTGCAAAGGAGATGAAGTATGGTCTGGAGCTGCTGATGATGAAGCCGTGGTATAGTTCCTGTTCAAACATGGTTTTTCCTTCCTACAAAAGTCAGATACACACAGCACTGAGCTGAGGACAAGAGGTCTGCTGCTGGCTAATTATGCGATAACCCACAGCAATTATGAAATAAAAATGTAAATAATATCAGTTGATATTTATCAACGTGTATGTGTACATATCTACATTTGCTTTTGCCGTTCTTCCATGTTCTCTGGTACTTTTCAGCAGGAAGAATAATCATGCCCCCAATGGTCTCACTCACCTTGATGTCAAACACTCTGATGAAGTAAGATCTTTGAGGGTTGTCTTTGACCAGGCAGGCGACTCCGCAGCCTCTTTTCACCCAGTTGTAGCTCCGCTCGGCCGCATACACCTGGACCACCGCTGAACTCAGCGTCTAAAACACACAGCACAGGACCAGATGGTCCAGATCACCCAGAGAACATTTCAGTCATCTGTGCATCTGTCCCTGGCCCTGCCAACATCTAAAAGGCTAGGTTATCCAGAGTTATCTCTGTAGTTATGCTGCTATAGGCTTAGACTGCTGGAGGACACACTGACCACTTTCCACACTTGACTACTTTCTTCTAGATTCAGATTCATTTATTGACGACCACACAACAAGTTGGTGGAATTTGTTTCCAGTACAGCATGGCATGCTCACAACTCTGTATCTACACACAATATAAATAAAAATAAACAGCAGGTACATATAAAACTTGGTTAAGTAACCGTATAGCTGTTGGGAAAAACAGGCACAGACCTATCATCTTCCAGAGGGCAACAGTGTAAACAGATGATATGCAGGGTGAGAGGGGTCCGAGATGATTTTTCCTGCTTCTTGTATGATACATGGAAAGTACAGTATTTCAATGGAAGAGAGGGTGTGACCTATAATTTTAGATGAAATGGTTACTGTGCATAAAGTTTTTTTTATGCGATTAGGAGTCCAAATGAACAGACTATTATGGACGAGGTGAGTATACTTTGAATGATTGCAGTATAGAACTGTAACAGGATGTTGTGCCTTATTCTAAATGTTTCTGCCGTCTGCATTCTGCTCTTTAACTGTATTATTTCCTGCTATTTCAGCTGTTAACTTTATTTTCTCTCTAAGTGATTTTCTCCCCAGAAGAAGCTACAGTGATGTTCTGCTGCTCTGTGGTGGCCTCATGGAGGGGGCCATCGGCTAGCACACTGCTGCTAACCACTTAAACATTCTCCTCTCCTGATAATAACACTTTACTCTCTTTGACATAAAAAGTGCTACTACTAGTTCACCTGTTGAATTAATTATAGATTCACTAGAATAAAGACAAGCAAGTTTCTCTTACTAAATATAATATCTAGTAAGAAATCACATGTTCCTAGAAGCCCTTTTAATAAGGCACACCGTGCTGGCAAATTAGCATATTACTGCAACAGTGTGTCTTATAAACGTGGATTGTGCAGTATTTGTTCAGCCTAGTAATAGTAATATTGCAGTATTGCAGAGCCTGCCACCATTGCATAATGGGCTCGACACACGGGAGGCGACATCGCCTCTCCTCCATTCATTTTCAACGAGACATGCGCGACAAAGCAATAATCGCGGGTCTCTCTCCTACCAAGCGAAACGCAAAAAACGTGCGTGTGAAAGTTTGCACTCGTGCACGTGTCGTGCACGGACGACCCAGCGACGCGATCCCAGAAAGTTGAAACATTTTCAACTTTTCATCGCTGTCGCTCGGGCGAGGACCAATCAACGGAGGTTTCATCCACTGACCAATGAGCAGACAGGATGCTCCGTACATCTCCGAGCAAACATGAAGGAGAAGCTGATTATTATTATGTTTATATAGTAAAATCAGAAGTAAGATTTCACATAACTCTAGCAGCACCTTGTGAAACATTATATCTACCACTTTATTAACTCTGAACCGCTTAAATAACCTTAATTCCCTCCAACCTGACACAGCCAAACAAAACAACGGAAGTTTCGATTTCGCCATGGAACAGAACGCGAAGACGGCTTTGCCGCTGCCGCGGATCGCCTCCCGTGTGACAGGTAATAAAAGCGACGGCGACAAATTTCGCTGATCGCGGTTGTTTGTCGCCTCCCGTGTGTCGAGCCCATTACTCGTTTGTGAAAAGGACATGATTGCGCAACATTACCGCCATGATCTGACCATTTATAAATGACCCAATGGTTCCCTGATGCAGAAAATCAACTGCATTGTTTTGTAAAAACAGCTGTGTGTGTGTGTGTGTGTGTGTGTGTGTGTGTGTGCACGCGTGTGTATGCGTGTGTGTATGTGCGTGTGTTTGTGCATATGTGTGTTTCTTTGTGTGCGTGCGTGCGTGTTTGTGTGTGTGTGTGTGTGAGTGCGTTTGTGTGTGTGTGCACACGTGTGTGTATGCGTGTGTGTGTGTATGTGTGTGTGCATGCGTGCGTGCGTATGTATGTGTGTGTGTGTGTTTGTGTGTGTGCGCGCGTGTGTGTGTGTGTTTGTGCGTATGTATGTGTGTGTGTGTGTGTGTGTGTGTGTTTGTGTGTGTGCGCGTGTGTGTGTGTGTGTTTGTGCATTTGTGCTGTGTGTGTTTGTGTGTGTGCGTGTGTGTGTGTGTATGTGTGTGCATGCGTGCGTGCATATGTATGTGTGTGTGCGCGCGCGTGTGTGTGTGTGTTTGTGCGTGCGTATGTATGTGTGTGTGTTTGTGTGTGTGTGCGTGTCTGCTCTGTCTTCTCAATCCCCAGTGAGTCGTGGAGGATGGCTGTTTATACTGAGCCAGGATTCTCTGAAGGTTTCTTCCTGTTAAAAGGGAGTTTTCCTCTCCACTGTCGCTAAATGCTTGCTTAATGAGGATTGCTGCAAAGACTCTGACACTAGTCAGACTCCATGCGATCTGCTGGGTTCCAGAAGCCTGCCACACACCAGAGCAAACTGCTGAGCTAACAGTCATTCGAGGCCGTTTGCTCAGCAGAAACCTCACTGTGTGCGCCTAATTTTCACTGAGTTTTCTTGCTCATAAGACGCGGAGGTGAAAACCAAACTGGTTTTATATTTTTTGCCTCAAGGGTGGTAGAAACTCATCATTTGTGCACTATGTGAGCTGCCGGCTCAGCTGAAACATTCTAGTGGCCAATAAAAGCGCGTTCTCCGCTCACATGATTCAAAGATGAATTCAGATGCAGCGCATGTCTGCATGCATCGGCTGTCATTCAGCCTCAAATGACTGCTAGCTGAGCAGTTTCCTCTCGTGTGCAGCGTGCTTCATAGGAAACTTTCTACTAATTGCCATAATGAACTGAACGGTATTGGACTGTTTACTTTGTGAAGTGCCTTGAGAAGACTCTTGTAGTGATTTTGAGCTATATGAATAAACCAAATTCCATTGAAAGCAGAGAAGAGGAAACTTGACGCTGCTGAATTAGATCATTAAAATGATGTTTTGTTGTTTGTTTGGTGCCAAACTGTAACAAAAGCCACAGTTATCTGCACTGTCCAGGTTTCTACAGAGCTAATCCCTCCCCCTGCAGCAAAAAGTCAGACCGCTTCGCTTCCTCCCTGGTGATTTATACCCAACAGGTCATGGGAGCAGCAGGAGACACTTCACTGTGAAATCACTGCTCTGCATCACACAAGGAAGTTCAAAAGATGGGCCAATAAAAGCCTTATTAAGGTTCTGTGGAGAGAACCGTCAGAAACTCAAGAACTGGCTCCATCATGCTATCGGAGAGTCAGCAAGAACCAAATCACTGCAGCAGATTCCTTCTATGACCTGCTCAGTAAGCTTTGGCACACCATCGAGCGGTTAACAGCACACCTGAGGATGTGCAGAAAAACAACTAAAATGACCTCTCCATCCTACAGACCAGCACGTAGGACGACCTCCCTCCAGCAAAGAGGGAAAGATCGGCTCCTGTACTACCGTAGACCAGCAGAGTAGAAGAATGTGTAGCAATCTTAACACTGAGTCAGATTTTATTTCACACATTTGTACAGGAAAACTATTGACCTACGCTCCAATCCTCACCTGAGCTCACGAGCTTTGGATAATGATGATTGCTGATCCTTAATGCAGAGAAGAGCTGGCCAGAGGTCAGGACTTCTCATGGAAGATTCCAGAAGAGTTCTTATAAACATGACTCTCCACGCCTAGAAATTTAGATAGACAATAGCAGAACCAAGATGATGTTGCTCTGCAGTCTAGACACACACTACTGGAACCCCACAGCCCTGACCAGTATGTTGGTGCATCAGTCAGTGCTCTCTCAGTTTGGTGAGCCATGTTGTTCCTTGTCCGGTAGCATGAGGAAACATTTTGAAAGACAACTGTAGATCTCGCCCCATGACTGAGAGCCATCAATGAGTCGTGGCCAGACTACATATTCATATATATAGGATAGCTTGCCAGGCTAGAACGCTCCTGGGCTGAAGAAGGACTAGGTCTGAGTGGTATACTAATTCGTACCGAAAACCAGGGTTTATTTCCATTTTATGAATTGTTGACATACCAGTGGCCTAGACAACAGTGTTTCCCCTACATAGGCTCAGGCGTGGCGCTATTACCCCCTTCCTGACTCTCATGGCAGTAAGCAAAACGGTCTGCAAATGTAACCCTCCCACAGCAACGAAACGGTCCCGAGCACGCACGCTCCAGTCGACTCTGCTGTTGAAACACATTTTCTCTACCGTTGCCCGAGCGGTAAAAACGCGTATGCTCACTACAAGCTCGCTCCCGCGGTGCGCCGAGTTTGGTTTGCTACGAGCCACAGATCTAAGTTGTGTGTCTATTTATGAAAACTTTGTAGGATCTAGTCGCACTAATGAGCTCTAACGAAGCCTAGCTCTGGTGTCACAGTGAGAGTTAATGGGAAGAGCAGCTCCTGTCTAACGAGGATGGTGGGCAGAACCAGGACCCAGCTGGGGAAATTCCGGGTGGCCCGATTTGAGTTCAGTTCAGGAACAGTTGAGTTGCTGCCAACCCTAACCCAACAAGCTTCTGTTCCTAGAAACACGTTCTATGCACAGTGACCTGTTATTAATAACTTTATAATTAATATTAAGTGAATGCACTAAAGACACAGGTGATGGAAAAGAAGATGAAATAAGCCTGAATATTTTCTCACTGCTCTAGGAACTGTTCCTGGGAAGGAGACAGTAGAGGTGATGAAAAAAAATCGATTCAAGTCTGAATCGGGATTCTTATTCACAAAGGTTAAGAATCGATTCCAAGAACTCAAATATTTGGCATGTAACAAGTTTGAGATGCACTTTTTTGATCTTTGTTAGGAGAGTCAGTACTCTGTTTACTTTTGTGGTCCCATAAATTGAGATGATTTATGTTTGAATCTGCTGATAAGAGGGCACTTGAATGTAATTTTTTCCATACTCAAAAATGTGAGATATTCTC